GATGGACTGAGTTCTCCATTCTGGAAGTATACAGAGGTGCTTGGTGACTACCTCAGTGGTGCTGTGGACTCAGTCTCCAACAGGAAGACAGATGGACAAGGGGGTCTCTGTGTGTGGGATCTCTGGATGGTGGGACCAGGTGAAGTGATAGCTTCTAAGGAGGAGGAGACAGAACAGACACTTTCCATTTTAACATTGACTCCAAGAAGAAATGTTTTCAGGCACAGTGGGGCCCATAGACTGTGCCACCAGGGAATATGGCATGTAACTACGGTGAGGGGGAGATGGTTCCTAACCCCAGAAATTTTTCTTGAGATCAGCAGGATCAGTTCCTTCCTGTTCTGAGCTACATGTCCTGGTGCAGGTAGCTGTGACCCCCTACCTCTGCAATTCTCAAGGTGATCATGCAGCAGACACCTGGATGCAAGGAGAGCATCACCAACATCCCAGACCCAACCAATGATATTCACCCACCCTGTTGTGTGGTCGGGATTGGGCCACAAAGACCCACCAATTAAGAGAAGCATAGACAAGGCTGCTTCTGCAAGGAGGTTAACCAGAGAGGCAGAGCTACCTGGGCTGCATGAGCTACACCAGACCACAGCCATCTCTACACTTACTGCCATTTAACATTTAGGAAACTGAGGGACAGAGAGATTAAGTCCCACAGGAGAGTGGGAATTTCCACTTTTGCATTGTTCTGAGTCTGCGTGGGTGGCACAAGTTTGGGTCAAGCAATGACCTTGATAGGAAGAGTTCAGAGATGAGTTGATCCCCTTCTGCACTGTCATGTTTCCTGCACAAGAGTTTAGGGTCACCTCAAAACAGAAGGAAGATGCCCCTGCCCTGTCCTCCAGCACTGTGGGTGTCCAAGTATTGATTTCACTGTGATGGAACTCCCAAGGCTCTTATATGGCTGCTAATGACAATCATATCTCCATAGGTGTGGCTTTAATTGGAAAATTATTATGATGGCCACAAGCTTCTGCTGTGATGGGAAAGAGAGAGAGCTGGGTTCTACTTCAGCTCTACCTCCATCCCTGAATGATCTAGACAGTCATGTGGCAGAAACAATTAGGATGAACACAACAGAGACAGAACTGGCAAGCTCCTGGAGGGCCACTCTGAACTGGGACAGATGAGAGGATTGCTCCCATGAATGACAACAATGGGAGGCTTGAGCAAGATTTAAGTCAGTCAATTAAATAAACACATGAGCTTCCTCCCTAGTCTGCCTGTGCTTGATCCAAACACACATGCACACACACACACACACACACACACACACACACACACACACACGCATGTTCACAGGCTTAGCATCAACCTAACTGCACATATTCCACAGTTATCCTCACTTGTTCCATGTCAATAATTTCCTGTACATTCAGCTGCCATCTCCCCCAAGGAAGTTCTTCGCCACTCTCCCTATTAACTATCCTTGGAATCCAGGGCCTCTCTCCTATAGCTGTTGGCACAGGGCGACACTACACAGATCTGTGAGGGCATCAGGTTCCTGGTGGATTCTCTCACCAACTGCAGGCTTCAGCACTCAGGGCCCTGATTGACTTTAGTTCTTATCTCATTGTCTGGGATAACAGGCCTCTGTGTTGTGGGACATTGATGAGAGAGTCAATGGGGAGATCTTTTTTTTTTTTCATTTAGCTGCTGAAAAGTTCAGAGGTATTCATTTGGCAGCTCCTCCTAGAAAAATGACACAACTATTTCCTGTGGCCCAGCCATTGCAGAAGCCAGGTTGGAAGTACTTCATGTCAGTTACATAATTGCCCCGATGAGCTCAGTGCCACACGCAGAGTACACAGGTAAGTCTATTGGCTGTTCCTAGCTTCCATGACTGCCCATGTTGCCCATGACTCAGGGCCCCGTCCTGCCATCTTGAAAGCCAAGTCCTTCTCATGGGGCTGTCCTTCTGGCTCTCCCTCTGCCTCCAGTTCTACTTTCCAGAAAGACCTTTGTAATTGTACTGTCCCCTTCTAGGCATCCTAGCCCTTCCAGTCTGAATCCAGTTGATTGGCAGCCTCGATTGCATCAGTCACCTTCCTTCCTTTTGTCTTCTTCCACCTTTAATCTTGATGGTCAGTCGGCAGAAGGGGACTGAGAGCCACCCAAGGAATTAATACAGCTTACTCTGGGTGGGTCTCCAGATAGGATTAGATCAAGAGGACTTTGGGGTGATGAGTAATTTAATCCATTGATGGATTTTTTTTTTTTTAAATGTGAATAGATCATTGGGACCAGGAGGTTGTGTGGAAGACAGGGTGTGGCTGAAGGAAGTGAACCACCAGCAAGTATGCCTTAGGAGCTGTCTCTGGTCCTGATCCCTCCCTGTGAAGGCTCAGCGCTGGTTTCTGTTCAACACTGTGAGTTGCTTCGCCACATTGTTCTACTGTGATGGACACAGGCCTCTAAAACTGGCCTTTTCCTTATAGTGTTTGTATTTAAGTCACAGGGGCACAAAGTCTGCTGAACACACCATGCCTTTACCACAGGCTCATGCTCTGGGAAGTAGGAAGTAGATCACTTTTAAAGAGGAAGTCAAAACACTGGAGGTCATTTGTAGAGCTGGAAGACTAGCTGAGATTTCATAAGTTTCCCCTTATAAGGCAGGAATTCAAGGCTCAGAGATGCTTGGCTGCTGGGCCATAGGAAGCTAGCTCAGTCAGTGCCCTGAGTCACTTCACCTGCTTTCTCAGAGGGACCAAGCCACGGGGGAAATGGAAACACCATGTGTCCATGGGGCGATGAGATCAGACACTGCCCTGGCACTGGGCAGCTGATGACCACACCAGGCTTTGGAAGGCTGATATGGTCACTGCTATACCTTCAATGATGTACCAACACATGCCCCACTTTAATGTTTCATTAAGCCATTCTGCTCCTCCTCTCATGCCCTATATGAGCTGAGAACTCAAGCTTTGCTTGGACCATTGAAACATTGTTCTAAAGAAGAGCCAGGACCTCCAGGTTGGTTAGGGCTGAGTCCAGAGAATCAGACCTGCATGGACTCTCCATGCAGATGCAGAGCTAGATGAAAACACAGGTACAACTGTTGGTCTCGGGGCTCTTTCTTAAAGGATTAGCCATGATGTGTACATGGATTTCCCTCTGCTGTTTCATCTCTCTGACTGCCCTTCCATGAACAATGCGTGGAGGCAGTTCTCACTAACCTCAGGGCTTTTACTTAGCTTACACATAATGATGGTTTATCATCAAACTTTCAAGGCATATTCTTCATGTACCAACTCATCTTTATCTCTTGTTATGCTTTCCATGGCTACTTATATAGAGTCATACACTATCAGTTTCTGGAGCCCCCACGTGACTCCTCCTAGCTGGTCTCAATCACCATGCCACTCTCATTCTCTACCTATACGGCAAAGTCTAGCAGTATCCAGAAACCACCTCTCACTGCCCTCTTCCCTTGGAGAAGATCCTGACAGTTATAGCAACAGATGGATGAAGGCTCTGTGGCAGGGAGGAGAGGCTGTGAGATCATGTTCTGTTCAAGTGTGTGACACTAACAAGGAGAATTCTGAATCCCTTTTCACTTGTCCACTTCTCGCTGGAATGTAAGGTGACTGCAAACACTTTAGAAAATGATACCTGGAGGGTCTTCATGACAGAGACCACCCTGGCCCTGATCTATGAAGTATCTATCTGCTGCTCACATTCCCCATAATGACATTACATTTCTACTCAGTTAATAAACTACCCTTCCTTGAGGAAGCAGGTTTGGGCTCTTGCCCCAGTTTTAGGCTTAGACCATGCCTCTTAAATAAATACAATCAAGGGCTAGGACTTGATCCCTGACTACTGTGAACTAGAAGTGGGACTAAGTAGAGATGTCTGAAAGGGACTGTGGGATCTATTACAATGTTGGCCCTAATTCATGGCCTTTCTATGTTTGTGTCTGTATCTGTCTGTCTATGTCTATTCTATATGTAGCCAATTTCCACTGACTTTGATCTTGGTCATGTGAGTTACTTTAAACAATAGGATTTCAGATTAGGATAATATGCATGTACTTTCTACTCATTGGTGGTATCTCTCTTTTTTTTTTTTCTTTTTAAGACAGGTTCTTACTCTGCAGCCTAGACTGCTCTTGAGCTCATGAGGATCCTCCTGCTTCAGCCTTCAGAATATTGAGCTTACATGCTCCACCACACCTTGAGTTTTGTTTTCTATTTTTGTTTTGTTGGAAAACTAGAGATTGAACCTAAGACTTCGCACATGCCAGGCAGGCAGCATATTACCTACTCTCTACCCTCAGACATGTCTGCCCATTCTTACAGATCACTCCAGTCACCCCAGGGTGCAGGGATTCCCCTGTCTTCCCCACTGCCTGGCAGAACACCCAGTACGTCAAACAAAACAAAACAAAAACAATTTGTACTGTTATTGATAAAAATGCAATTCTCAGATTCAACCCAAGGCTCAAATATCAGTATCTTTGTTCTTTTTACCCCATGTAGGGGTAGTATTTATCATATTTTATGCCTTAAGATGTGTATACTGAACCGTGAACACACACACACACACACACACACACACACACACACACACACACACACTCTTGTGCTGTGGAACCAAACTTTAGAGCCTCCCACACTCACTGCACCCCCATTTCCCACTCTGACTGTATGTAACTGAAGACCTTTCCAAAGATCCTTCCTTTGCTGGGCAGGTAGAGAGGCATTCTCCCAAGCCAGGATGTAACATGTTTCCACAAGAGGACTCAATTTCTTCCAGAGAGCCTGCTTGCTTTCTGGAATCAGACCCCTCGGGTTCTTTTCAGAAACCCTCTTCCCACCCCAGAACCTCTGCTATCTGATCAGTGCCTTCAGCTGAGGATGCAAAGAGAGCAGGTTTCGCTCAGCACCTACCACAGTGCTTGCAGAGATGCTAACGCTCGCCCTGTCCAGCCTTCACAGCATCTTGTTGTAAGCCAGGCACAGGCTTACAAAAGGAAAGGACCCTACCTTTCGTGGCTCCTGCCTCGTCATGCTTTTCAAAGAGGAGGTAGCGTGGGCTCTCAGGGAGAAATGGCAGGCTCGCCAGCTGGACCAAGGCAGGGACAACGATCACTCCAAACAGGTACGGCCAGGTGCTCTCCTGTAGGGAGAAGACTTGGCTGAGGGATAGAGCCTTTGGTTGTTCTACTGGGAACACTGGACTGAGCAGCTTGGATTCTGCAGGAAGCCTCCCTGCTCAGCCTGTCCCCAGTGACAACAGCTAAGGGAAGGAACAGAGCAGATGAGATAATGGCAGACCGCATTTTCCACATTGACTTGTGATGGAGTAGCACATCTATGAAAAGCAAAGGGCTCTTGGCAGCCAGGCCACTCAGGAGGTACCAGAGATAGCTTCCTCCTTACCCTGGGTCACCATGGCCACCATGGGGTCACCTTGGATCTCCTCCATTCCTTTAGCATATTTCCTCCCAGGCTGCCATGGGCATGGAATCAGACTTGAGGGTGAACACAAGATATCTGTGCAATGCCCATCATCTTCCTATTGTCAATGAAGATAGGAGAAGGAAGGATGGCCTTTATGTGTGGAGGACCTTTGCTTTCCAGCAGGTGGGGAGAAACAAATGGACTCCTCCAACATGTGCCATCAGCACACTGCGTGCAATGACTCCCATACAATGCAATTTAAATGCAGCATGGAGCATACGTTCTTATGCCCATCAATGTGCCCATCATTTCCCATCTTTGTTACCCAGCTTTACAAATATGCCTCCACTGTGCTCACTGCATAGGCACATGTCACCCTGGGCAGTGTGGATGGAGAAGACAAAAGGCTCTGGCTCCAAGCTGAGGGCTCAGTGTGTTTTATTTCCTAAAACAGGCAAAGGAAATAGCCCAGAAGAGAACAAGACACACTGAACCCTGAAAATACTCCACCTGATGGGCAGAGGTCTGCTAGCCTGTTCAGGCCCGGTGAGGGCAGAGCCCTTGAGTGTATGCTTGTCCTCATATGTTTGTCTCCTGTTGTGGATCTCAGAAGGGAGAATGTCCTTGTCAGCTTTTCTGAGATCCACAGTAGAGCTCTGATGGCAGAGGGCCCATGAGAACGACAGGCACTACCAGGGTGAAGCAACAGGGACCCCTAAAGCATGAAGCAAGTCAGAGGGGACCTGCAGGGACAGTCAGCGAATGCTAGCTCAGCCCTCCTCTCCAAGGTGACTCCAATTCTCTCCCCCACCTTCTGAAGCTAGTGAATCCTATTCAGAGGACAGCACAGTCTTTGCGTCTCCCTTTGAAGGACAGGCAAGGCCAAGCCAGGCTTTTCAGCTTGAGGACTTGTGACCAGGAGACCATGCAAAGAGAGAAATCAGATGGTCTGTGAAAAGTCAGAGAGAGCAATCGCGGGTGAGTGCCGAGCGACACAGATGGGTTCCGCTCAGGCATCATGGAATACTCAGAATGTACATGGGCTCTGGTGATTTCATTCTGTGAATATTCTGAAAGCCACAGGATTTTTAGTAGAAACTGGCATGCAAATTATACTTCAGTTAGAAATTTTAAACCACGGTGGAAAACAATGGACTGAATCTGTCAGTTCTGCCTGTGCATTTTGCACGCACAGGTGCCACCCACTGTGGACTGAAACTGTTCAGGAAAAAAAAAAAAGTATCTGTGTTGAACACTCACAGGCAGACCTCTTTCTCTGTCATCATTCCCTAAGAAAGATGGTGTAACAAGTATTTACATATCATTTGCATGACATTAGGTATAATGAGTCTCAAGATGATGGGAGGAGATGCATGGGTTACATAAAAATATCACACAGAAGCATTGTGATGAGGAGCCGTAACAACCACCATACTTGAGAGAGGCTTTTCAGTCTGGCCCAGGCTCATCCAGTGAGTGGTAAAGAGCCCTGCCCCTGAGCAGGCAGCTCAGATCTTATACTACAGTCATTTATGGCCATGGACAAGTACCCTGAACTGTCCTGGAGGGAACCTCAAGACTCCCAGAGGCTCCTATCTCCTAAGTCACCTGGATTTGACCTTCTGGCTTTCTGGTGCAGGCCATCCACGGTGCTGCTTGGTATTATACCAACATGAGCCAAGAACCCAGCATCTCCCATTGCAGTGACATCCAATAGCTCCTTTCTCTATTGGGAAGCAAATGAAAGTGGGAGGGGCTTTCTCATACACACTGGCCAATTTTAGGGTCCTTTATGCTACTTCTAGAGGGTAGCCTCAATCTCAGGCTGTTTTTGGAAGTGTTTTCATTAACTCGTAATTCAAGGCAACTAACTGTATGAAGACAGATACTGCATTCTCCCTCATGTGGATCCTAGATTCTAGCTATGCGTCTAGGTCAGAGTAAATGCGGAAACTAGAAAGTGTCCTATGAAGAGGCTTTGAAGGAGAGCAGTGGTGAGGGATTCATATAACCATATGACAGGGAGAGGGAGTACAGTGGGCAGAGGGTATGGGAGCATCAGGGAGAGGAGGGACAGAAGTGTGGTGAGGAAAGTCAAACAAAACAAGATGTGAATGAAAATGCCATAAGGAAACCTGCTACTCTGTGAACTAATTCATAAGACAACTATGTGTTACTCACCTAGGCAGGAGCAAAAGGTGCCACAGGTATCCCCATTGGAGGAGTCTTTGCGGGGCCAGCCAGGGCCTGGGATAATGGGGAGAGACACAGGGCTCCAGCTCAGGATCTTTGGGTCATGGTCCTTACACCCATTGTTCTCAGGAGGAGAGATGTGTGTCACCTTGTCGACCAAAACAATGCTCAACCCCCCAATGGGGAAGATATGTGGGTCTTCTAATAACTGTGTCCTGCTCTTTCAACTGCAGGGCCTCTGCTTTAAAGACAGACTTTCTAGGCCCCACTTCCTCCCAAGCTATCAAAGACTTTGGTCCTTTCTATGATAACCCACTCCTGAACTACTATGAGATAGCAAACACGTTGAGTAGGCATCATGGGGCTTACAGAGTCAAGTTCTTATTGTGCAAACCAAGTGCCCAGGGATCCCAGAGAAGTGAAGCAGGAGCAGGCTACGCTGGCTACCGGCGGGAGCAGCTTAAGTGAAGCATGGAGAGGCTGCCCATCTCCCAGGTTCTTTAGGGATGTAACGGGATACCCTTCTTTATACTTCTTCATACTCACGGTCTGCATATGGGAGGCTGTCAGTGGGGTGAAAAACTGAATTACCTTGATTTTCCATGTTCTTCCGGGAGACTACATTTCCCAAGAGCCATCCCACCTAGTCTTGCATCTTGATGTATCTGCCAGCGCCTGAAGCATGGCAGTGTCGACCACACCCAGTGTGTGTTGGGTGAAGTGAGTGGTGACAGATCATTGATGCAGCTGCTGCAGATGAGACCCCTAAAACATCCTTGTTTGTTTTTAAATCTAAGCTTTCCCTACATGGCATCCTATTAAAGGGCTGACACTTGACAGTAATGTAAATAATATTTCCCTATGCAGCGTTGTTAGAGTTTCAGGTCTATTGGAGAGGAATCTGATCCCTGAAAGGTGAGGGAATACATGTGAGGTCCCTTGAGAAATCAGAGGGCTGGTTAGATGAGGAGTTAGCTCTTCTGACCCCTGCATAGGCTCTCCCCTTGTTGTCTTTCCTCAGTTCAAAGCAAAGCAGAGGGGGTATAGCTCTCCTGGGCCTGGCAGCTGCTAGCTATTGCCAACTAGGGGATTTGTGTGTCGGTTCTATTAGGGTAAATCTGTCCCCTGAGCAGAATTCATCAGCAACCACTCGGACTCAGCTCCAGCGTCTCACTCCAGCACTAGAGGGACTCCATCGAAGGAAGACACAGGTGCAATAGCAGCCATTCCGTGAGGCAGACACTGTGCAAAGCTGGGCCACCTCGAGAAGGTGGCTCTGCCACACATCTGAGTGATCTCAGCGTATGTAGGAGCTGGGCCTCAGAAGGCAATTTGCTCCATCAGCAACTGATGACACAACTCCTTGTGGCCTTGCCGATCCCACCTCCAGCCACTTCCCAAGGAAGGGCCCTGATAGCCACAACTTCCTAGTGCTAGACAGAGCATGGCCACCTGAGTGTGGTGTGGCGCTTTTTCCCCACCCCTAGATCTGTCTCCAAGGGTCTGTTCCAGCTTCTAAAACATCCCTTATGACTGTATGTTGTACATAGTTTTGATGTCCATCCATGGCCTGATTCTATTTCTACAATAAGAAGGCTCCTTATACAAGTTTATAATACTACCCCATTTTCCTCTGTCATAAATAATCACATGACAGTCCAAGGACATGACCGTCACTGTGTGGTAAGTCTTTGCCGGTACCACATGTGGGGACCCTGTACATACAGTGCTCATTCCCCTCCCTGTTCCTACCACCATTTCCTGCTTTCAAATGGGTTTGCCTGACTTCTGGCTTACTTGGCTCTCAAGGTAAGTCTCTATTATTCTGTTTGTATAGATAAGGAACCTTAGTCTGAGGGTGGGACGCTGGGAAGTGCTACAGCAAAAGTTATTTACAAACCAACTTTGTTCTGCTCCTATTTAAAAGAGAGTCAAAATTCCACACTGTTTTTAAAACTCACTGACCCAATGAATTGCACCCCTCTGCCAAGCTAGATTATTAGATGGGGCATTGTTGAGTTTGTACAGATTTTCTGAGTCTTTGGCACCTCTGCTGATGCTCCCGATTCTCAGCTGAAGAAACCAAGGTACCAAGAATTTTCTACCCCATCGACAATTACACTCCCTATATATAGCTGTGGTGGGGGGAGGGGGATCCAAACCTAGGCCGGTAGTCATCAACTCTGTGCCCTTAACCTCTGCTGTCTACAAGGTCAAACAGTCCACTGTGCAGCTGTACCTTGCTAAGGAACACCCAAATTCCTTGATGACATCCGTAGAATTCTCCTCTCTTCTTCTCCCTAAGGAGTTAGCTAGCTGCTGTTCTCAAAGCCACTCTCCTTGGAATTGAAACCCATGATTAATCCCTTCACCAGCCTCCTGTTTTCCAGCTGAATCACCCTGGCTTCTGAGTCTCATTGTTCCCTTTGTCTGCCATGTGCTTCTTCATCCCTCGCTGACCAGCAACCCCCAAACAGAACTCAAAGTGGGAAGGCTTGTACATGCAGAGGGATGCGTAGGGAT